GCTCTGTAGACCAGGATGCCCTGGAACTCACAGAGATCCACCTGGCTGTGCCTCCCAAATGCTGGGATTAAAGGCACAAAATGTTTTTAAAAAATTATTTTTACTTCATTTAAATTTTAATTTTTAGTCAATTGGATTTACATTTTAGGGAATAGGATTTTTAAAATCCAAACTCATTTTTTTTTAGAATTTCAAAAAATTTTAAGATTATAATTACAAAATTTCTCCTGTAATTTTTTGACCCTCATTTGAAATTGGCATCTGTCTCCTTTCCTTTCCCTAATATTTCCCTTCCTCAGAGGCAGCAGTGGCATTGAAGATGGGCTGGACATAGGTATGCACACCCAGCCGCTGCAGGCTGAAGGAAACCACACCGGTAGGAAGTCTTGTCAACAATGGCGTTAGTTGGCGTTAAAATCTTAACACTAAAGCCAGACACTGTGGGCACTCCTGTGGTCCCCTGGGCGCTGAGGCAGGAGGGTTTTGTTTGAGGCCAGCCTGGACTACACCCTGAGACCCTATCTCAACAATCAGGAACTGTCATGTAGCTCAGTGGTAGATGCTTGTCTGGCATGGCGGGGTGCTGGGGTGTGACTGGTGTGTGTGTGTGTGTGTGTGTGTGTGTGTGTGTGTGTCCAGGCAGAGCTGCGTTTCTTCTGTTGCCCGTCTCTCCTCTGAAATTCTGGGCTGATATGAGTCAAGGACACCTATCCTCATCCCGTCTTCAGCCAATGGCCAAAGAGGTGGCCATGCCGTTTGTCTTACACTGTGCGGTGTGGTGTTCTGGTTAGCGGTGTCCACCAGCTAGCTGCTCATCAACCACACACTGAACCATGATCCTCCTGAAGGGAGTTCTGAGTACAATGATCCTCACATGGAAGGGGCATCTGCTGGGTATGTGCTGGGTACCTACTGTGTGCTGGGTACTTACTGCGTGCTGGGTACCCACTGTGTGCTGGGTGCCTACTGTGTGCTGGGTACCTGCTGTGTGCTGGGTGCGTGCTGGGTACCTACTGTGTGCTGGGTACTTACTGCGTGCTGGGTACCCACTGTGTGCTGGGTGCCTACTGCGTGCTGGGTACCTGCTGTGTGCTGGGTGCGTGCTGGGTACCTAATGTGTGCTGGGTGCCTACTGCGTGCTGGGTGCCCACTGTGTGCTGGGTGCCCACTGCTTGCTGGGTGCCTACTGTGTGCTGGGTACCCACTGTGTGCTGGGTACCTACTGTGTGCTGGCTGTCTACTGTGTGCTGGGTGCCCACTGTGTGCTTAGTACCCACTGCGTGCTGGGTACCTACTGTGTGCTGGCCCTTGTCAGGTACAGGAGATACAAAGAAATAAAAGCAATTCTGACTCTGGAGGCATCCCTCCCCCTTTTCTTTAGCAATATGAAAAGGTTCAAAATATGGCTCTCCCTCCAGCTCATAGGTCCCTGTGGAGCCTTTCCTTGTGCATGAAATGTCTGTGTCCTGGTCCATCCAGAGAGGGAAGGTGGAAGCTTCGGCTGGGGATATTGGTGATCATCTGGACAACAAGGAGGCTCAGGAAAGGCAAATGGGACCTCAGGGCCGCCCTGATGCCGAAGCAGGCTACCAGGCAGTGCCAGGGTCAGGGCCGCCCTGATGCCGAGGCAGGCTCCCGGGAGGTGCCAGGGTCAGGGCCGCCCTGATGCCGAGGCAGGCTACCAGGCGGTGCCAGGGTCAGGGCCGCCCTGATGCCAAGGCAGGCTCCCCGGCGGTGCCAGGGTCAGGGCCGCCCTGATGCCGAGGCAGGCTCCCCGGCGGTGCCAGGGTCAGGGCCGCCCTGATGCCGAGGCAGGCTACCCGGCAGTCCCAGGGTCAGGGCTGCCCTGATGCCAGGCAGGCTACCCGGCAGTGCCCGAAAACTAGAGAGGCCCGTGTTGGTGTTCAGAAGTAGGAGAGAGGTTGGGACGACCTGCTGGGAGGCAGGAGTGTCTCATGGGAGGGGTTCCAGGCCACAGATGTCCAGGGGGAGGAAGCTCTGCCCTTCTGCCTTCTCTGCTTATGAGGGAGTGCTGGTCTGAACTCTGTAAGCCGACTTGAGCAGACTCACCTGTGCCCCATCTTTGCCAATGTCCTGAGCCCAGATCCAACCCCTTTGCCATTTGTGAGTAGACTCCACTTCTGAAGGATGGAGGCCAGGGGTGGTTCCTAGCCACACCACGTCCTCAGAGCAGGGTGGATAGGGAAAGGAGCTGTCTGTGGTGGATCCTCTGTTTTTACCCACACGCTAAAGCATCCTCGGGTACTCCCAGCAGAGAGGTCAGTGAGAGGACTGTCAACCCTCTGTGAGGAGGATGGCGCCTCTGACTCGGGATCTGCATTGTGGCGTCCTCCAAAGGCACCCCCTGTTCGCCACACTCTCTTAACCCTGGAGAGGCAGATTCTCATGTTCTTAGTGCTTCGGGGTTGGTGGATTCATTAACCACTCCTGAGCCTCACCAGGGATCCTTCTAGAAGGGGCTCAAGAGTTTGTAAATAGAATCAATCAAGTACACAAACTCCACCACACCAAACTGAACATCAAAACCCGATAGGCCAGGCTTTCCGGACAGTAGAGGGCTCTATTCACCCACACAATAAAGGAAAACTGCTTATGCTTAGGAACAGAGTCCCACATTTTAAATATAACAGATGCTTAAGTAATGATTGCACTTAAATTATGCTTTGAAAATAAAACTTCCTAGCTCTGGGAGTGTAGCTCAGTGGTAGAGGACATACATTCAAGAGGCGCTGGCTTCAGACCCGGCACACCCCTGCACAAAAGCATGACGGAAATGTCTTAAAAGCGGAGACCAAACCCATGCCAGCCACGCGGCTGGGGTAATTATCATCAAGTCACTGTAGCGGCTCCAGCATTTGCGGAGGGTTGGTAAGTGTCACCCTGAGCTAAGTGTGGCCCACGTTGTCTTTCATTTAATCTTCAGAGCAGCCCTGTGGTGATCATGGTGGCAGGAAACAGGACAGAGTCAGCCACCACCCGCAGACACACCAGTCCTCCTCCAGTCTGCCTGACTCCAAAGTTGAGACCTTAACCACTGGCCCTACCACCCCCACCGTGTGGCAAATTACTTTTCCTTCTGGACTCTCAATGGTGGTCTGGAAAGCAGCCAAGTCTTCCTAGGCAAGCTCTCATTTTGAATTTGGAAGGGTAGGGAGAGATTATTACTCATGATCTGAGAAAAAGTTGGGGGCAGGGGAGCACTCTAGCTTGTTCTGAAGTTGGGGGGATCACTCCAGCTTGTTCTGAAGTCTGGGGGAGCACTCTAGCTGGCTTTGAAGTCTAGGGGAGCACTCTAGCTGGTTCTGAAGTCTGGGGGAGCACTCTAGCTGGTTGTGAAGTCTGGGGGAGCACTCTAGCTGGTTCTGAAGTCTGGGGGA